ACGTCCCCCTGTCCCTCTGTGCTGCCCCACATCGTTACCCCCCGTCCCCAGAACCTCCCAGGGACCCCCAGCACCCCGCCAAGCCCCCCTTGTTCCCCAAGGACACCCAACACCCTCCACATCTGTCCCCAGACCCACCCCAAGGAGCTCTCCCCCAGCCCCCTAGAACCCCCCCAAGTGCCTCTCAGAGACCCCCCCAGCCCCCCAAACCCCTGCAGGGCCCCCCCCAAGAAGTGCCCCCGCTCCGTACCCGACCCACTGGGCGAACTCGAGGGCGTTGGGGACGGTGGCGCTGAGCAGCACCAGCTTCACGTGCTCGGGGAGCAGGATCAGCACCTCCTCCCACACCACGCCCCGCTGCGGAGCACAGGGGGGGGTCAGGGGGTCCCCAAACCCCCCTGGGACCCCCCCAAAACCCCTGAGCTCCTCAAAACACCCCCCACAAAAATCCTCGGCAATCGGTATCTCCTCTCACATCATTCCTGCTGACAGAGTGAGGGGGATCCCAAAACTCCTAGAACTCCTATGGGATCCTCCAAACTCCCCTTGGGGACCTCCCAAAACCCCTGGCGACCCCTTAAACTTCTTGGGGACCCCCAAACTCCCCCCTCACCAGCACTGGCACAACACATCTCATTAAAGGCGATCCACTCCAGCTCCCAGCTGATATCCCCCAAAAACCTCCCTGAACACCCCTTTACACCCCCTGTTGGACCCTCCAAACCTCCCTCAGGGCCCCCCACACCCCGTGAGAACCCCCCCGAGACCCCCCCACCTCGTCATCATTGACGTAGTGCACTTCATCAAAGATCACCCACTCCAGGTCGCGGATGACGTCGGAGCCGTTGTACAGCATCGACCTGCGGGTAGGCGGGGGTGGATTTTGGGGGTCCCAACCTGCCCCCCCAAACCTCCCAGGGTCCCCTTTCCCCCCCCCCAGCCCCTCACCGCAGGATCTCGGTGGTCATGACCAGGCAGGCGGCCTCGGGGCGCAGCTGCACGTCCCCCGTCAGCAGCCCCACGTCCCCGAACGTCTCCCGGAAATCCCGGAACTTCTGGTTGGAAAGGGCCTTGATGGGGGACGTGTAGATGGACCTGGGGGGTGGGGGGAAATGGGGGAGGTCAGGGTTGGGGGGGAACCCCTGGAACAGATCCCAACCCTCCCAAAGGTGTAGATGAACCTGGGGGGGAGATGTGGTGGGGACCTCACGGAGCACCCGCTGGGAAAAGAAATGCAGTGGAAGAGGGGGAACAGAGTTCTGGGGACCCCCCCGTGGGTTTTAGGGGGTCCTGGGGGGGAGGGGTCCGGGAGAACATTTAAGGCCCCCCAAGGTGTGGTTTGGGGACCCCCAGGATGGGTTTTGGGGACCCCCAGGGCGACGGCGCGCTGGGTGCCCATGGTTCGGGGTCACTGGGGGTGGGTTTTGGGGATCCCCAGGGCAGGTTTTGGGGACCCCCGGGGTGCGAGGGCGCGGTTTTGGGGACGCACCGGGTCATGTGGCGCCGCGCCAGGGCGATGGCGTACTCGGCCACGGCGGTTTTGCCGGCCGAGGTGTGGGCGGCCACCAGCACCGACTGCCCCCGCTCCAGGCACAGGGCTGCCCGCTGCTGGAACGGGTCCGGGCTGAACGGCCACTGGGGAGGGAAAAACGGGGGGCACGGGTCACCCCAAATCCCACCCGGACCCCAACTGCCCCCTCGGGGCACCCCCAAACCCCCAGACCCTGCCCCAACCCCAACTGCCCCCTCTGCAGCTGCTGGAGGGGTCTGGGGGCAACAACCATCGAGGGGGCAGGAAATGGGGGTCAGCCCAAACCTCTCCTGATCCCTCTCCAAACTCCCCCACCCCAAACTCCCCCACCCCAAACCTCCCCAATTCCTCTCCCAACTCCCCTACCCCTCCGGGGTTCCCTGACACCCCCAAATCCCCTCCGAGTCTCCCTGTGCTGAGTCCTGGGGCCATCCCACACGCCCCTAAAACCAACCCAGAATCCCCTCAAAATGCCTCCAGCCCCTCCCCACATCCCAAATTCCTCCAGGACACCCAAACCCCACCTCAAAGCCCCTGGGACCCCCCCAGACCACCCTGCCC